CACAAGGAGGGTAAGCCACAAAGATTCATTGCCAAAGAAGCTGGCTGTTCACAGAGAGTTGAGTGGAAGGAAAAAGTGTGGAGGAAAAAGATGCACAACCAACCGAGAGAACCGCAGCCTTATGAGGATTGTCAAGCAAAATCGATTCAAGAATTTGAGTGAACTTCACAAGGAATGGACTGAGGCTGGGGTTAAGGCATCAAGAGCCACCACACACAGACGTGTCAAGGAATTTGGCTACAGTTGTCGTATTCCTCTTGTTAAGCCACTCCTGAACCACAGACAACGTCAGAGGCGTCTTACTTGGGCTAAGGAGAAGAAGAACTGGACTGTTGCCCAGTGGTCCAAAGTCCTCTTTTCAGATGAGAGCAAGTTTTGTATTTCATTTGGAAACCAAGGTCCTGGAGTCTGGAGGAAGGGTGGAGAAGCTCATAGCCCACGTTGCTTGAAGTCCAGTGTTAAGTTTCCACAGTCTGTGATGATTTGGGGTGCAATGTCATCTGCTGGTGTTGGTCCATTGTGTTTTTTGAAAACCAACGTCACTGCACCCGTTTACCAAGAAATTTTGGAGCACTTCATGCTTCCTTCTGCTGACCAGCTTTTTGAAGATGCTGATTTCATTTTCCAGCAGGATTTGGCACCTGCCCACACTGCCAAAAGCACCAAAAGTTGGTTAAATGACCGTGTGCTTGATGTGCTTGACTGGCCAGCAAACACACCAGACCTGAACCCCATAGAGAATCTATGGGGTATGAAAATGAGAAAAATGAGAAACAAGAGACCAAAAAATGCAGATGAGCCGAAGGCCACTGTCAAAGAAACCTGGGCTTCCATACCACCTCAGCAGTGCCACAAACTGATCACCTCCATGCCACACCGAATTGAGGCAGTAATTAAAGCAAAAGGAGCCCCTACCAAGTACCGTATTGGCCCGAATATAAGACGTAAATGTGAGCCAAAATCATCACAATTAAAAGAACCAAAGACTTAAACTACTTCAGTCTGTGTGCATTGAATTTATTTAATACACGAGTTTCACAATTTGAGTTGAATTACTGAAATAAATGAACTTTTCCAAGAAATTCTAATTTATTGAGATGCACCTGTATACGGATTCGTTGTCCACGCGTTTTCAGATTTATCCACTCGGACCCGGTTTCAAAAAATATCGGTTTCACTCTCCCAAAACGCCGGATCCGTGTGGACGAAACGCCTATACAAAATGTATGCCTATACAGCATAAACGCGTCTCCGTGTGGACAGGGCATGTATGACCGGAAGATTTATTCATATCCAAAACAATACGATGTGAACATTACGGAGCGCTGAACACTCATTTTTCATTTTCATTCTCAGTGCATGTTTTATTCATACTCGCAGCCGGAGGGCGCTCTTGCGCAGAAAGTCCAAAACGGCCTAGTAGAAGTAATATATAATAACTTATGACATGCAGGAAATCTCTAATATGGACAAAGGCATCCCACTATTGCTGTAGCTAAAAAAGGTCATTTCAGCCCAGTGGGCAATTGATGTCAAAAAGACGTCAAATTGACATCAAACATTGACGTCAAAAAACAGGTCAAAAACATAAATCAAATTGACGTCAAAAACTTGACATCAAATTGACATCAAACATAGACGTCAAATTGACATCAAACATTGACGTCAAAAAACAGGTCAAAAACGTAAATCAAATTGACGTCAAAAACTTGACATCAAATTGACATCAAACATTGACTTCAAAAAACAGGTCAAAAACGTAAATCAAATTGACGTCAAAAACTTGATGTCAATTTGACGTCCACACATGTCCTATTCTAGACCACCAAAATAATGACACAACAGTAATAAATGTAAGAAATGTTTTATTTATCAAGATACAATTCCAAAATACAAATGTGAACTGGATTTTTTATCCCCTGAAGGGACTAGTCAATGTAAATCAAAGGTTAACTCTGCATGAAAAAAAGGCTTAAATTCATAGATGGATTAACAACATATGGTAGATAAATGATGTAGATACACTACCAGTCAAAAGTTTTTGAGCAGTAAGATTTTTAATGTTTTTTAAA